TAAAATGAGCTGGTGCACCATCATGCATGAACCATAAGTATTGTCTCAGCTGTAGAGGAATTTCTTCAAGAAGAACAGGTAACTCTTCCTGTAGGAAATTAAGGTAAGAGTCGCCTGTTAGTCGTTGTGGGAGGAAATATGGACCGATTAAATGATCATCAATTACCCCAATCCATACATTTACCGAAAACTGATGCTGAAAATGAGCTTCAAAGATTCCATGTAGATTTTCCTCAGCCCATAAGTGATTGTTATGGAAATTTCGTATAGACTCTCGACCAAAATTAGCTTCGTCAGTAAACAAAACTCTATTTAAAAAATTAGGAATTTGAGTGATTTGATGAAGAATCCATTGGCAAAAAAATAGGCGCGGAAGAAAGTCTCTAGGTAGTAGAGCTTGCACACGTTGAATATGAAACGGATACAACTGCTGTTATTTAAGAATTCTAAATACAGTGAAGTTGCTTACATTTAATTTGTTGGCAATTTTTCGAGTACTTGTTTCCGGTGACTCCGCAATTAACTCGAGAACTGCTTCTTCTAGTTGCACAGTTCGTACTTCTCGAGGGCGCCCGCAGTCAGCCGTTTGTTTCTTAAATGTACAATTTTCGCGCAAACGTTGGTGAAGGCGAGCAAATATTGTGTCCTGGATACAACTCAGCATACAATCGTCGAGCTTGCCGACCATTTCCATTACTTCGACCATAGACAAAATGCATGTCTGACAATTCCACGTTTGTATAATTTTCCATTGTTTTCGATAAAAGAAAAGTTAATTACTTATTAACATCAATGTTATATCAAACTAAAAGCTTAATAATGAAGAAACGCTAATTTAACATTTCGTTAAACTATTCGTATTTAACAGAATGTTGACAATAGCCTACTAGTACTAGCGTCGCTATTAGATAATAATGTATTAAAGAAATGGAAAATACGCGTTAAGATATTTTATTTTTTTGCATAAAAACGGCGCCCCATACGAAAAAAAGGCCAAAAATATTTTTTGTGACAAATTTAATGAGGAATTTAAAAATGATTTTTAATTTTAAATATCTCAGTGGCGTAACATTTTTTTCTTTAAATGAATTGAGATCATTACCCGTATGCACGCCAATGATGAACATAAAATTCTAAATTGCATGTCAAAAAATGCGGAATAACTACCTCTTAAAATCCACCAAATTTTGTTTGCATATCTTGACCGGTTTCAGAGCAATAAACAAATCGTCAGTTTTTAAGGAAAACGAAGCATTTTCAGACATACGTTTATATAGCAAACTGTCATTATTTTTTCATGCTGAATCACCCCCTGAAGTTTGTCGCACTTATTTACTAACACCCTGTATACCACAGGTTCTAAAACCCGAAATTCCATTTTGTACTGTCGCTGCTTTTCCCCATGCGATGTTCAAGAGTGCCAGAAACTGCAGCCTACTTAATTTTCGACCTGGATGATTATGTATCTAGGTGTTACATGCCTGTGACAAGTAGGTCTTTAGAGGCTGTCTCTGATCATAAACTTGCCTATAAATGAATATAAGCGCGTTAGACTGCTACACCACTGACCCGATAATGTATTTAAAAATATATTTTTTAATATCCAAAACGATTTTTGTCCATTTTTCATCACCAGACAAGTAAATAAATTCTGTTTTTTTTGCTAATCGTCGAATCATTTTTTCCATTTGACAGGTCTTTGGATGGCCTAATACTTTGCAAAACTAACAAACTAAGGCAGGAAATGAAGTTACCAACAAGAAAAAAATAAAATGGATAATCTTTACATAATCATATTCACTTTGATAAATAGGAAACAGGCAACAATATTAAACATTAAAGTGATTTACAAACATCTAATGCCCAGTTATCATTGTATTGCTCGATTTTATTAATCTATGCAAACTGCTTGTTATATACATTAAGAATATGTATGGCAAATTATTTTAGTACTTTATTTCTCCATAATGATCTCATAATGTTTAATGATCGCATAATATTTGATAATTTTCTATGAAACAATGGTTTTATTATTTTATTCCTATTATTATCATAATTGTCGTATCTATAGTCTTTGAAATAAACATACTTACAATGTAAACTCATTGTGGCGCACCCTGTATACTGATTACTTTAAGTCGCTAATAAAGACTTTAATATTCTGAATTTTCTTGCACAGTTTTCATTTCGTTCGATTAATTCAATAATAATGATGGTAATTTTTCAAAAATGACTGATGAAATCAAGTTTTTGTGGAGGAGAAACAAGACTATAACGTTGGTAAAAGGATAATAAAAATTTGTTACAGATACAGATTACAAGATAATTGGTAAAAATACCGGTTCTTGATTCTCTTCACTCGGTGAAAGCTTTTTAATGAACTCAACACACTCACATATATATTTTATATATGAACGTTTATTTAGGTGTTCGTTAAGTGAGATGAGTAAATTAATATTTATTTTGAAGAAAAAGTGACAATTTCCGAACAATGATTTCTTCTCTAGAGATACTATAATATTTTAATACATACAAAACCTACCAAAATCGTGGTAAAGAGTCGTAATTAATATTAGTGATTTATACCAAAGTGTAGATAAAAATATAGTGAACTAAACGCACAATAAATCATAAAATAATAACTGTAGGTAGCTGCATTATTTTAATAAACAGGTACAATTAAAAATATACCATTGTAATAAATATAATATCAAAGAAAGTTAAGATTCACATACAAGGGCACTTCAAATAATACTAATTATATCAACATCCGAAACAAATAGTATTCATAAAGAAATCTCTACAGGAGATATTTACCGTTTATTGCAAACAATAAATGATAATATAACCTGTAAAATAGAGGAAGTGCAACAAGAAGTCAAAACGATAAAGGAAGTAATAGATCAAGAAGTAGAATCTGCTAAACAAACTAAAGTTAACAGAAAGGAAACTCAAACTAAATAGCTTAGTTATTTACGGTCTACCTGAGGAGGAAGAGAAAAATTAATATTTTTTTAATGAACATAATATTGAATTTAATTAATAATACATTAAAAGTAAGTTTACAGACTGCCGAAATCAATAATACATATAGAATTGAAAAAAAGAACTCTAATTCCCGCCCATAGTGTTGTTGTCCGTAATCTCTTATTTAAAGAAAAAAGTAAAACATTAAGTAACTGTACCAATCTCAGAGGAATATCGATTAAAATAGTTGAAGATCTAATAGAAGAAGATAGAAAAGAAAAAAAGATGTTAATAGAGAATCTTAAAATAGCGCGAACTGGGAATAAGAAAGCCTATATAAAGGGATTAAAACTTTTTATAGAAGAACTACCATATACATACTGCCAATGACTTGGTAAATCTGAAACAAGTGATTAATTTGTCACCCCCTCCTTAAAGAAAAGTTACCAGTAAACTATCAACACCTACTCCTAAAGAAATTGAAGATCCAGTTTATATTCAAAAACACATTACTCAGAAAACTAAGTATGAAACGAAAAATAAGAAACGGGAAAAGAAGGAAAGCCAGGAGCTCAAACCTACTAGGGAAATCCGTTTGAGATCCGATTTAATACAGAAATCTGCTAAAAACAAAGTACAATTATTGAAGTGAACCTCGTAAAGTCAAAATAATTTAGGACCTGTTTAGTCTGATAGAATAAGTTTTTATTTGTTTTGTTTAGATTTATTTTGGTATTGGTAATAAAATACATTTAATGGATCCCTATAATAAATATTTTATTGTTGAAAAAGTGGAAGATTTTAGTCTAAATAATTACAATGAGTTGCATGATGTTTTATCGATAAACGGAAATTCTGCTAATTTTAAAATTATCCATATCATCAGAAGTTTAAATAAAAATTTGGATAAATACAAACTTTTTTTAAATAACCTGGACGTGAATATCGATTGTATTGTGTTCAGAGAAACAAGAATAATTGAAGACCTGGATGTGTTAAATATTCCTGTTTATTCCATTAACTAGTGGTACTCAAAATAAATGTGATGGACTGGTGATTTTCATAAAAACACGTTTCAAGTATACATATAAAATATTGCCCCTATGCAGGTAATAATATCAATAAACGAATATGAAAATATAATAGTAACAACCTATTACAGATCATCATTACCTGTAACAAACAATTTAATTGAACCTTTGCAGGACTTTCTACGAGAAAATGATAAGAATAATGAATACAGTCAAATGTTTTTGGTTTTTGGTTATAGTTTAAATATAAATAGTCCAACAGGGGTTCAAGGAAACTACAAGGCATGTCTTGACCATATTTTTGTAAAAGTTAAAATCTGTCGATACTGGAACATAGATTGAAATAACCAAAAAAGGTTGACAGCTGTGTACACGTAGTTTAGATTCAAAAGGAAAGACTTGTATTTCGTGCAAAACTTTTTAATTAATAAATGCAAAGCGCTTTCGGCTTATTAGCCATCATCAGTGCTTATCTACAAAAATTGTGGATGTAAACTTACAATTTAAAAAATATAAATCTGATTAAGACTTTTAAGTCAAGAGTTAAAATTGTATATATACGGTTGTTTGAACAAATTAACAATTAAAAAATACAAACAAAGTGACAAAAATCCAGTATTGGGAATAGTGAGTGTGGGATAAGCCCTTACAAATCATATCTGATCTCCAGAAGCAAGTTAGCTTGTGTGGAAATAAGGAATTATACCACCTTCACCATTTGCACAATTGAAAACAAGTTAACAAATTAGTTAAAATTTAAAGAACTGTGGAAAATATACATTGAAATTTTAATCTAGAATACAATAGTTAATATAAGCTATTGTCAAGTTTTTGATCAATCATTGGGCTGATCAGGAGATGGTAGCGATTATCGATAGTAAGGTAATTTACATAATACATAATTTGTGTTATGAATATTCTATTACTGTGATATTATCAGTGATAATAAAGTAACACGCATTATTAATAATCATTGATACTGACATAGTGGTGTTAGCGAATATGGAACACCTGCAAGCAAGAGTGGAAGTTTGGATGGATCTTGGAGTTGACAATGCACGCCGATTCATCGACGTATACACTCTCTCCAAAAAATTGGGCCCAAAAATTTCGAAGGCGCTTCCAGCTTTGCATGCGTTCACTGGTTGCGATTTCAACCCAGCATTGTACCGACATGGGAAAGAGAAACTTTTGCAATTTCTGATGAATTCAGAAATTTTCCAAGAAGCATTTCTGGATTTGGGATCAAAGGAGCATAATGTTCAGGATTCTTTTAACATCATACAGTCTTTTACTTGCCACTTGTATGGGTTGAAAAAGTGAGACGATGTCAATCAAGCCAGGATTGTCATCTTCAACAAGACGTACAAGGTAAAAGACAAATCAAAACCCTTCTCCTTGAGTGTCCGGAATTACGATGCGTGCAACTTGCCACCCTGTGAATCGGAGTTACTCCAACAAGTGCTACGCACAAGATTCATGGCATGCTTGTGGAGTAATGCCCATAATGCAAAAATTATTGATCTTTTACCAACGGACTATGGAGGGAAAGTTGTCGACGGAAAATTTAAAATGATCTGGTTTGCAGGTGATCAATTGCCGAAAGCGTACGAAGATGTAGTCATAACACCTGATATTCTTGAGGATACTCCAGAATCGGGTGTTTCTTTTCTCCAATAATTAAAAAAACACGTTATTCATAAAAAAATATTGTTAAATATTTTAATGATTTTTTGTTACAGATACCCAATCTTAGGATGAAATCGAGCCAGAAGAGGAAGATGATTCTACTGATGAAGATGATTAATTAATCAATTAATTATAAAAAATTAAATTTTTTTAAGATTTTTTTTTTAATTATTTTCTTATAAATACAAGTAGTATTCTACTTAAAAAACATACACTTTTTTATTTGCATGCTATTTTCTGAGCTTTTTAATTAATTAAGTCCAATGATTTAAAAAAATATTTTTTTTTTGTCAGATTAGGCGAATCCCTCTAGATAATCGTCAGAATATGAGACAGCACGTATAGGACATAAAGATGAACCATATTATTATATATCTAAATCTGACGCGCTTGAATATTTCAAAATGACAAATTTCTTTTTGCACATTATAATAATGGCCGCGGGTGAAATCGAATTTAGGAGGGGATGACTCTCGAAGGCTTGTATTGGGCGACTCGGACCTACATCATCATAGAGTGTTAATTGAGTTGTCTATGGAGTGGTATGAAATTTCTGTTAAGGTTCACTTGAGTGTTGATACAGAGGATATTGTTGTCTCTTTCAAGAGTAATTTCAACATCTTCATGAAAATCTAATAAATTGAAATTTTTTGTGTTTAAGTTAACTAATAACTTGGAGTTTTTTGTTGGGCTAAAATTATGTTGATTGAACCTCAAGTGATGTCCGAATGCAGATGTGTCCGGCTTCTTGATGTGCTCGCCTTTCCGGACTCCCAGAGATCTACAAGATCTGCCGATATAACTGGCATCGCAATCGCTGCATTGCAACCGGTATACTCCACTCTTATCTAACAATTTCTTTTTGTCTTTTGTATTGACTAGATGGAGTCTAGTTTATTAATTAATTTAAAAGATACTTTGATGTTATCTACGTTGTTAGCAAACATTTTTGAAATGCTCTTAGCTAAGTTATTTTCCCAGAAGGGGATTGATATGTAAAAATTATTAATGACTCAAATTGGGGTAGGCTAATTTTTGAATTTTCTTGAACTTAATTTTGGTGATTAGAGATTGGTTTATGTCCGGGTCATACCCGTTGTTAAATGCAATTTGTTTAAGTATATTTAATTCTTGAAGATAATTAATTTTATTTAGAGGGATTGATAGAAGTCTATGAATATAGCAATAGAAAGCAGACATTTTATGTTGGTGGGGGCGATTTGAAGAATAGTGTATCATCACATGGTCTGTTTGGGTGGGTTTTCTATATAATATGCTAAATTCGAATTTGTTACCCTGTCTATAGACAGAAAGGTCCAAAAAGTTCAAACAACATTCTTTTTCGGCTTCCAGAGTGAATTTTATATTGGGATGAATAGTATTGATTGAGTTTAGAATATTAGAAGCCGTATTGGCATTACCATTTATTAAGCAAAAAATGTCATCCACATATCTATTTTAATCTACCACAGATATGTGGATGACATTTTTTGCTTAATAAATGGTGGCCAGATATTATTGACATTACGGTCTTGAATTTTTGGTAACCATTATCATGGTGCGATAGATGCCCCATAAACCGCACCAAGCACAGCATTTTGCTGATTGCATTAGGAGTTATTAAAATGGCTTCTAGTTGCGTCTCATCCCAATTATGACAATGTGTTTATTAACGTATTAATTTGGCCAGAGATTGGCCTCATACTAAAAAAAATAATTCGATAGAACAGCAGTATTGAGTTATTCTAGAATGCATTTGCTGAAAACCCGACACAAACTAAAGTCTAACGGCTTCAACTCTGGCACGAGTTGTACTTCTATGCTTTTAAACAGAGAATATTTTTTAAAATATGTCAAGATGTTTCATACGACAAACTAAGCTTCAGAATAGCTGGCAAGATCAAACCTTTGATCCAGCTTTTCATGGATTAAACTAAATAGTGACTGGCATTCGCATGTACAGGAAAGAAAAGTATATTGCCATTTAGCTATGTAGCCATTTAGCAGTCGGCAGCCGCAACCGACTCATGACCACTGCTGCTGCTGCTGCTGCTGCTGCAACATTGCATATTGTGTCGCTTCTTTTCTTGCACGTATAAAAGAAATTAAGTATTTAATTACTCTAACACATGTAGAGCAGACCCAAAATTTGATCTTGCCAATCAGTATTCAGTTTCAAACTCAGTAGTTTGAAATTTTTGAATTGGATAATTGGATTGACAGATTGATTTTCATTGGTCGATTTTTTGATCGTAAGTGAACGAAAAACTTTTTTCGCAGAGTGCTGCTTTTCCAAATATAGTTCCACAATTTGGAAACACAGTTCCGGTGTCCTTCCTTCATAAAATGGTATTCAATACTGAGTCAAACGGCAGTGATAGTTTGATGCACGCAAGAATTTTAACAAAAAAATTATTAAAAAAAGTACCTTACCATGAATCACCTATTATAACTATCTACAGATTTCCCACTTACTTGACTCTTAAAAGATCTGATAATGCCTCAAAATAGAAGAGCCAGAAGTGGCAGGTACGATTCATATCTACACCGACGGTTCTAAAACAAAACAAGGCTCAGGATGTGAAATAAACTCCAGATCCTTAAACCTAAACATAAAATGGGCTGTGAGCAATAGTGCCACTATAGTTCAAACAGAGTTAACGAGGATTCTCATAGCAGTAAAAGAAATAACCAGAAACAATATCACTGAAAGGGACATGCTCATCTATACAGAGAGCAGAGAAGCATTACCAAACCTAAACAGACTACGAATTTACTTAGGGTTAGTATTAGAATGTGCCACGAAGCTTTGGCAGAATTATCCATAAACAATGTGGTCATCTTAAAATGAATCAAAGGTCACGCTACATCGAAAGGTAACCGTCTTGCTGATTCACTAGCCAAGAAAGCAGCCAACCAAATATTTTTTGGACCTGGCCCTTTTATCGGCCTGACAAAATCGGTAGTGACAGACCTAATTAAAGAACATTCCCTTGTGAAATTCAAGGAAAGATGAAATAAAACAAGAGACTGCAGAGTTACCAGACTCCTAAGTTATCCTGACAACACTGCAGCAAACAAATACTTGGCTGTGACTAGATAGAATCTGTGCCTAGTCACAGGCATTATTACTGGGCATTGCGAACCCAGATAGCACACGACGTCCATTGGACGTCCATAATTTGTCCAAATAATGTCCTGGATGTCCATGAACTTCATATGGATATTCATTGGACATCTGTTTTCCGTTATCCAATGGATATACCCATTCAGAAGTCCAATGGATGTCCAAAAAATGTCCATGATTTACACTATAAAAATGACAAACTTATAATAAATTATTATAATTCTTCTTGTATAATTTATTTACTACTAGGTTTTAATTAAAATAAATCAAATAATTGTCCTCTCCTCTCGCCTCTGTTGACAAGATAGAAAAGTAAAAGGCCACTCAGGTAAAGTCAAAGAAGAAAAGAAGAAAGAGGTTAAGAAGAAAACAGCCTTTGAATACACAGCCTATATGTAGCACATAGATGTTTATCTGGTAAGAAAATAAGTATAATTATTAATTAAATCATTTAAAAATCTAAAAATTAAAAAGCAAATCATTTGTTTTAAACTAATATAACCTATCAATTATGTTTTAAACTTTATGTTTTCGATTTACATTCAAAGAATCGCTTTCTTTTAGACCTTTTGTCAAATGATGTACCTACCTATTTAAGAAAATGGCTTTACTAAGAGCTAACTAATATGTTGCAAATTCGAGATGATGTCAACACAATTATTATTGTAACTAAGAGGTGAGAAAACATTCAAAGCAGTAGAAAAGTTTCTATTTGTACTGCATGAGACGTTAGCAGAAGTAGAAGGCTATTTAGAAGATACAAATATTTTTAAAGATGCTGTAAGTTTTACTTTTATTAAATAAAATAGAATCGTTTTGTAACGTTTAAGAAATAATGCATTGAAAGTGGTTTCATAAGTTATTTCTCTTTTATGTTCACAAATACATATTTTTATTGCAATTTTAGATTCAGCCGTTACCAAAACCAGGGACAAGGACATGACGAACTTATAAAAAGATGGTTTGTTTCCATAATTTCTAATACCCTTACGAAAGAATTCACATAATATGGTGGCATGAAAGTAAAATTGTAATTTAAAGAAACAATGAGCAGTTTTTTGTTAATATGTAAGTATAGGGGTAAAGTACATTAGTCAATGCATATTTTCATATTAGCTAATAATATTTTATCTAAAAATTTTACATTTTTAACTATCACTTTTGCCTGATATTAAACGATTGATTTAAGACTCAATATTCTTATAAAATGTAATGTCTTTTTTTAGCTGCTGCTAAGAGTGACAATGGTGCTGCTTAAAAAGTAAGCGAAATAACCTTAAGAAAATGGCTAAGAAGGTCAACAGAAAGGAGTGCGTATAAAACTAATATATGCTTGATATTATTTATGACAATAAAAATAAGTCAATAGTTGCAATTATTTTATTTCATATTAATATAGGTGGTGATGTCCATCAGATGTCCATAAATTGTCCAAAAGCAATACAAAAAGAGTCCATATATGGACCTTTCATGGAGTCCAAATGGACGTCCAGGAGTGGGACATTTG